AGGGGTGAAAGTGTCATAATAAAGAGTTCTCAACTGACCAAAAATGGGTATCTAGGGTTGATAGTAATTGTATGTAGGACTGACTGTGGTAACTCTTGTGTTTATAGAACATGTAGATAGTGGTGCCGAGATTGTGCTTATCATTCTTAGAGGTGTTTCCAAATATAATACCAACCATTGTTTTGACATGATTGAAATTCTATATTCTATCAGAATACCACCAAGGATTACCAAGCACAGGCTAAATTGTTGTTTAGAAAGCTCACAGATCACTCACCAGCAAGAAGTAGTATTGAAACTGGACCAATGATGTTTCAGTGAGTATTAAAAATGAAACATTTTCCTCCAATGTCAGTGGATACCATGTATCATTGATCAATCATCATCCGTATCCACATCCACATCCACATCCCCATCATACCTGGACAATGGTGAAATTACATAGATGCATTTTCTCACATCTTAGAGCAGAAGATGACATGCCATTGTTCCAAAAAGTTATCATCCTTAAATAACTGAATAATGAATTAATGCATTGGTCAACAGATAAATTTGTTTCAAATGAAAATTCATAATTCTGTTCTTATTAAAGCTCATCTGCTTAAAAAGTTTGAATATCTCTTGTTACTAAGGAGACACCTAAAGAAAATATTGGATAGTAACTTTTTGAAAGTAGTTGGGTAAAATCATTTTCACAGAAGATTAATCTGCCTGGTTCTTGGCCCTTGATAAAACCACTGTAGATATCTTAGCCAATCTTTGTTGTCTATTAGTGGTAGACGTCTTGAGAAGGACTTTGGTATTGATTAGGGCCAGTAGATTATGGAAGATTTAATATTAAGCAAAGCCAGGTATGCAATAATATTAAGTCCTTAGTACTCAAGGTAAAACAATTAAAGATTGGTTGTGTTTCTTTCATTTACAGTTACATTATAGAAAATGGGGTGTGTTTCTTGACACTAACCGAAAAGACTTTCTCAAAGAGGGCAGCTTTTAGTTTTCTTGAAGAACTATCTTCTGAGTTTCACAGGGAATTTGGTTCCAAAGTAGCCACAGCAACTAGACCCTACCTCTTCATTGAGTTTGGTAAGCTTCTTTATCCACAGTTTTTATCTTTGTGTTCAGAAATATTTTTTCCAAGCCTTCATTGTGGTGAAACCTTTTTTATGGTGTTGCCCACACCTCTCCCTCACTATAACAGTGATGTATTTACCTATTGCTCACCGAAAAACCAACCAAAAGCCAACAGAAATAGAGTGGTGAAGTACACATGCTTCTCTGATTTCCAGGTATATCATGTTAATATGAGGAAAGTCATGTTCACTGAACCTAATTATGTTGATGTCATTTCAGATACATTTATTCAAAAGGCAAGGAAAAACTATCAAGATTCAAGAACAAGGAGAAATCTAAACAGATTAAATGATGAACTCCAAGATGTACAGCGAATCATGGTTCAAAATATTGATGACGTTCTTCAAAGAGGGGAACAACTTTCAGGTGAATGATCAAATATGTTAACCCTTTACACCCTAATATTAGTATGCATATTCTCCATACTGTTCTCCGTACATTTCCAAAAAGGCTGTGAAGAAGAATTTGTGTAACAATCAAGAGTTGCTCTAGTTGGTGATCATCTCCTCCACTCTCA